GTGGCAGAATGCAATATGCCCATATTTTCGTGTTTATCCACCCAAAGTGTGTAAATCACCTAAGTGCACTTAAGTCAATGGGAGAATATGCTTAAGTCAAAAAACACGCGGATTTGCACTTTTTTGGCTTAAGTGCATGGGAAAATCAACCCCAAGATAAATAATTCCATGTTAAAAAGTCTTGAATTATCAAAAGTAGTCAAAAATCCATATGGAGATACAAAGATATACAGACACACTCTAACCACTGCAGATAACATGTATCCATTCTGTCTCTGTTAAGGTTCTCCAGACCTGTCAGTGAGGGACAAAGTGGTGAATGGTGAGGAGGGCAGTACTGTCACTGTCCAGTGTCTCTACAGTGACAAAGACAAGTACACCAAGAAGACATGGTGCAGGAGAAACATGGAGTCCTGTTTACAAACGTGGAGCAGAACCTTCGAAAGAGACAGAACTAAACTGCATGTCAATAATGTAGAAAGAATCATGACAGTGACACTGACCAGACTGGAGAAGAAGGACACAGACTGGTACTGGTGCGGTGTGGGAGACTTAAACTTCCCTGTTCATATTACTGTTTCTCGTCAAAAACAGAGTAAGGTGAACACTGAACAAAGCATGATTCTCAAATGGATATGATAATAATGTTGTATGGATTGACTGTATCGATTTAATACTCATAAATTATATTCAAACATATTTCAAATCTATGCTAAGGTTCATTTCTAGACCTCCCACAGTCCAGAAACCTGTTACAGTAAATTGGAGTTACCATATTGCCCGTAGGTGTGAATCTGTGACTGAATGGTGTGCATGTGCCCTGTGATGGGTTGGCACCCCATCCTGGGTTATTCTCCGCCTTGTGCCATAACTTCTGGGATAGGCTCCAGCCCCTGCAACTCTGCATAGCTAAATGTGTATGGAAAAATGGATGAATAGAAATCCACACTATATCACTGGAAAACTACTCCTTCATAGGACGTTTTATCCATTTATCTTAACATTGACTTGCAGGGTAATGTTCTTATATTTGCATCCATCTTCCCACTGCTTGCACTAATCAGGGTTGTGAGGGAGTTTGTAGCTAATGCCAGACAAATTCCAGTCACAAACCGGTTGTGTTTCACTAATACTATGCAATCATGTCGTATTGAATAAACTCAGAAATACTGAACTGTGTTACAGCTACTAGACGTCCAAAGACTCTGATGACCTTGACTACAAACATGCCAACAACATCACCAACAGTATCTTCAGCAGTTCCATCTTCAGCTGACTTGATACCTACTGGTACCAGAAATGGGACACATACACAGCATTTCACCAGGTGCAGTGATAAATACTTAATCAAATCATATATCAATAATTAATCGACAATTAATCAAATTGATCAACAACTAATCAAATCTTGTGCCAATATTTAAGGAAAATATTTATGAAATAAATAATGCAATCAAAGTAACAAGACTTTGCCCATGTAAAGTTATACATCCATCCATCCATTGATCCATCCATGCGTCTTGCTCTGCTTATCCGGGTCTTGGTAACGGTGGCCGCAGTCTAAGCAGAGATGCCTGGATCACACTCTCCCCAGTAACCTCCTCCAGCTTCTCCAGTGATACCAAGGCGCTTACAAGCCAGCTGAGAGATGTAATCTCTCCAGTGTGTCCTGGGTCTGCCCTGGGGAGTCCTCACAGTTGGACACCTCCCCAGGAAGGCATCTGGGCATCCTAGCTGGACGCCTGACCCACCTCAGCTGGTTCCTTTTGATATGGAGGAACAGTAGCTCTACTGTGATCCCCTCCTGAATGTCAGAGCTGCTCACCTCGTCTCTAAGGCTGAGCCCAGACACCCTGTGAAGGAATCTTATTTCTACCATTTCATTCCACAATCTCATTCCTTTAGTCACTACCCTGAGCATGTGACCATAGCTTAGGGAGAAAACACAGATTGACCCATAAACTCCTCCACTTCAGGCAGTAACTCATCCTCAACTTGGAAGGAGGAAATCCACCATAATGAGAACCACGACCTGATCCTTATCCCAGCTGCATCACATTTGGCTGCAAAGTGCCCTAGTTCACGCTGGAGGTCACAGCTCAATGAAGCCAAAAGGACCATATGATTGCAAAAAGCAAAGATGCAATCCTGAGGTCACAGAATTCAACATCCTACACCCCTTGATTACATCTATAAATATGCATTGTTCCTCCTGGATCTGAAGTTCAACTAATAGTTGGACACTTCCCTCTAGTACCCATGCAGGGAGACTGAGGAGTGTGGAAATTGGAACATACATCTCAGTCTCCCTTCTTAAAAATTGGGACCAGCACCCCAGTCTGCCAATCCAGAGGCACTGTTCCCAACCTCCACACAATGTTGAAAAGACATGTCAGTCAAGACAGCGCAAAAACATCCAGAGCCTTCAGGAACTCAGGGCAAATTTCACTCACCACAAGCCTGAAGACTTTTTTGACTACCTTGTTGACCTCAGCCCTATTGATGGGTGAATCCTCCGACTTTACTCCTTCCAAGGAAGGCATGTCATGGGGTTCATAAGGTCCTCAAAACATTCCTTCCATCACCTAACTCCCCAGCTGAGGTCAACAGAACTCTCTCCCTGCTGTAATCAGCATCGTCAAAGCCCTGCGTCCCCCTTCTACATCAC